GGTAGATTACCATGATTTAAAATTGATCCTTTTAATGCATATTCTTTCGTACCAAACCAGTTAGGAGAAATAAACAGCATGTACAAGCTGGAATAATATTGCTGCAGAACTGAAGAAAGTTGACAATGTTGAAAAATGATTTCTAAATTCCCCTGTGGCTGTGCATTTTGTTTTCAAGAATCAGTTTTCTGAAATATGAAAAAAAAAATTCCCTTTCATTTCTATCATTTGGAAAGGTAGCATAAAGTGTTGTGAATTTATTTCTTTGATTTAGCTGATGTAAAATTTTTAAAACTTGGATTTAAATTATATTCGAAAATCATTTTGATATTTTTTTTCTAATTTCATATTCACTAAATATCATTTCCTTCATAATTCTTTTCCAATATGTTGTATCACAGTTTTTCTGTATTTTCTCTAGGACAAAAAGCTATCGGACCCAAACTGAAACTTTCCGAATCATACACCGTTCTGTTTCACTGTTGCTGTCATATTCGTTTTTACTTAAAAGGTTTTTTTTAAAAAAAAATACATCCACGGTGGGATTCGAACCCACGACCTCTGGATTAGAAGTCCAGCGCGCTATCCGCTGCGCTACGCGGACACATATCTAATGACAATGCTGGGTTTAACAAATTAAATGATTTCTTTATTAGTATAAAAATAATAACAATCTCAGATGTACATTTCTGTTAATTTATTTGAAATAAATGATATATAACTTTAAAAAAAAATTGTTAGTGATTTCAGAGAAGTAATTGGAATGAAATGGCTTACAAAAAAAGTGAAGGGACTACAATTCTATCTAAATTGTTTTAAAAAACAATGTTCATATTTATTTTGCAAGATTTTGTTAACGTATACCACACATGTATAATAGTTGAATGTGTTTTATTTAATCCATTTGGCGTCATATGTTGAACAGCTGAGGGCATTTTTTGAGTGTCAATTACTTAGTAACTTACCGGTATATTCAGCACCAATGATAACATGTATGTACTTTTGAAGTATGTGATTTATCGTTAACAATTTGACAAATTTTGGAAAATTCAGATTATCCAAAGTCAAAGTGAGACAATCACTTTCCAAATTCACACATATTAAGTTGAAGTTATAGATTGATTGATTGTATGTTGTTAGAAGGGTACATGCAAAAAAACAAACAAACAAATAAATAAACAAACAAAAACCAAAAAAAAAAAAAAAATATATGAAAAGCACGAGGAAGATAGAATATTTACGGAATTGCTTTGAAAGATATGTGTTAGCCAGGAAAATTTCTGAAAATATGTTTTAATATTAATATAAAAAACCATAAAAAAAAATGATGACAAGGTCGTTGTATCGACCATAGAACTTACGAAATGATGACTTTCAACGAAACCGCTGACTTGCTTCATCAATTTAGTTGTATAACTTACCTCCTTTTAGAAATTGTTCATACGTAGAACATGCTATTTCGCATCGAATGACTGAGAGATATAAACCCCGAGGTGATGAAGGTAAATTTCTGCAAAAGTAACCGAATTCAATTGAAATGTTAAAGTCATCACGTTTATCATAAAGATTTGTTGTTACAAAACCATTAATGTCTTTTTCTAGTAAAAGATCCACATACGTAAAAGATCTAATAAATAAATATTCTTTTTAAAATTATTGTTGTTTTGAGGTCAATAAGATGATTAAGCCGACTGAGGAGTACAATAAACATGTATTCGCAGAAGACAAATGCAAGGTAAATAGAAGGCTAAATTAAAAATATTTGCAAAATGTTACAAACACGAAGGATCGACTTTTAAAGGGGAACAATGTAAGGAAGAAAAGATCTAATATCTAGAGGTAGGATCAGGTGCCTATGAGGAGTAAGCATTCCCTGCCGACCGATCATATCCGCGAGAGCTTTATGTATTGATTAAGAATGCACGGAACATTCTACACTAAAATGAAGTAAACCAAAGGAACAAAGCAATTCATATAAACAAGTCAGTCGAAATACGACCCATTGTTCTCTTAATATTGCTAAATGTATCATAAAAATAACCGTAGAATCTACGAAATGCAGAAAGGATAATATAATTTTTTTAATTTGTGTGCTTTACTAGTATTTTAGTGCTTCTTATTATTATGTACCAATGATAGATCTTGCCTTTTAGTTACAGCACTTAAAGTCTCTGAAAACTTCATAGCAAAGCCCAAGTTATCTGCTTCAATGTAATGTAATTTGATAACTTTCTAAACGAAAAAGGTTTCTGTCTTTTTTAATTTTTTAATTTTTTTTCTTTTTTAAAATTATCTTCAGCAGAGAGAAGAAACTATTTTTTTCATAAATAAATTTATAAAATACATGTAGAAAATGTTGAAAATAGTCTTTCTTTTTAAAGGTTTTGTTAATTTCATTTCTACTATTTAGTTATAACTACTCAGTATATGAGTTTTCATATCCATGTCTATAATATAAATATAACTTTTCTCATTTTTTTTCGGCAGATATTTATATTTTTTTATTTTACAAAATAAGTTTTAAGTTTACTACTGAGATATAATTATGCAAGTTTCTTTTTTTTAAATTCAGGAGCTCGATAGGTTTTTAAACATAAAGCCGTAATATAAGCAAAGAAAGAAATCATTTTGAAGACAACTTATGTCATAACTGTCGACAAAGCATTTATGTATATATTGTGTCACTGCAGGTAATTTTGACTGATGCGATAGTGTACCGTGCATGTTGTCTGCATGTTGCTTAAATTTCAAAATTGTAAGAGGAAAGAAAAGCATTATCTTTAAGAGTGTTTGTTCCTGGAGGTCAGATGCTTTTCTTTTCTATTAATTAGAACCTTGAAATTTGAGCAACACACAGACTTTTTAATAAAAGGTATATTTCTAAGAACATCGTTTTCACAAAGTTTATATTGCTTTTCAGAAAAGTAAACATTTAATTAAGAAATAAATAACAAGTTTATAAACTTCAATGGGAATTGAAGTGGGTCGGTCACGTGATCAAATCCTGTGAAGGCCGAAGGCCTTCTCAGAAGATTTGATCACATACCGACCCACTTCAATTCCCATTGAAGTTTATAAACTTGTTATTTATTACTTATATATACATTTGAGACAGACAATTGAATATTTTCGAATTTAAATTATTGCACTAACCGTCCGTCGTAGATTTTGAAAAATGACGCAAGGTGTAAATTGGCTTGCATGGCGGTTATGCTTCAAATTCATTAGGCTAAGGAATCTATTTCGAAAGGAATATTTTGTGAAACGCTACCTGTGATCAGTAATAGTGAACAGATTGTTGTCTGGGAATATTTTATTCGTGAAAAATGATAATCGATGCTGAAAAGACACAAGAAACACGTCCGAAGTTTGATGATAAAAAGTTGGAGGAATTTCGGTCGCTGGAAAGGGATGGATGGATCCGATGGACTGAGACAATTGTCCGAGCCAGTTAATTTGCAATTTGATCAAAAACATTCCACGGTTTCAGTAACTAAAGGCATACTTATCGTAAAACACTGATAAACACGGAGACACTGGCGACAGCTTTACATTGAACTACGAAAACGCCGAGGTGTTTGGCAGCTGTTCATAGCATGATTGAAAAGATATTTTCCAACATCTTCGCTAGCCAAGGGTGACGATCCATGGTGTTTCTCTATGAATAGAGAAACACCGTGGATCGTCACCCTTGGCTAGCGAAGATGATTTTCCAACAGATTTACACATTTAGCGTGAGTAAAATTTAAAGATAAAATAAAAGTTTATCATGAAAATTTAACCAAAGGTCTATCCAAAAAATAAGGATGAACGTTAGAGACTGTGCAGCTGACAAAAGTGAAGAAAAATGTAGACAAACGCTAGGCTCCTAGCTTTCTCTATATACACAGGTTGAATCGATAGCCCAAAAACTGTATGAAATACTTGTTTACATTTAAAATAAAATAGTTATCATTTAACTTGCTTATTTTATTCATTTTTATACATGAAAAGCAAGTAGAGCAGGTCATTTTATAATTTATATACCGGTAGATATTATTGCGCTGTGTGATTAGGTCACGTATTGACCTCTGACCTCTGACAAACTTCATACAGAATTGAAGATATTTTCTCTCTGTATGTTTATATAATGGAGAGATACCACAAATGTATATATTCATAATTTATGCCTATTAATTCATTTATATGACCTCTATACCACAAGGAACGAGGGGGAGAGGAAACAAATAACAACCATAGATAAGGACTCTTAGGATTCCCTTCCAGATCTTCGGCAAGTTTGTCAACCTATTAGGTTTGATACTCTTCAAATCATTCAACTCAATTAATTTATTTTTGAGGTAGACAATATATACTTCCTTAAAAAGCGTAAACATAAAAGACAGATTTCCAAAAATAAGATTTTCATCACGAGAAGAATAATGTTTATCCTAATAGATAAATTTCTCTATAATGTATATACATGTAAATGTTTTTGTTTTCAATTTTCATCTTCGAAAACTGTTTACATGAATTTTATTTCATCATTTTTCAAAGATTCATATTTTAAGAACAGTCTTTTTTTAATATTGGTTGGAAATAGAATTCCAATTCTTCATTTTGTTAAATGACTGTTCCGCTGATTTGTTTTATCATTTATTTATCGGGAAAGACTTAATCCAATTATTATTTATAAATTTAAATGTACATGTACTTCTTACTTATTAAAATGTACCGCACAAATCAGCTGCATTAACCTTTGTTACTGTGATTTTATAATATAATTGTTTCCTCGAACGAAGTCGGGGAGACATATTGCTTATGTGAAAATATTGAACACTACTTGTAAATATGTTCTTTGGTTTAAGATAAGCAAATGTATTTTTAATACTGATGAAGATGCGATATTTGGTGTCGTGTACCTGCCCCCGGAAGGCAGTAAATATGCTTCTACAGATTGTTTTTTAGACATTGAGAGTGAACTTATTTCTATAACTAAAGATAGCAAATATGTGTGTTTAATGGGTGATTTTAACTCAAGAGTTGGCAATTTGAAAGACTGGTTTGAAGCTGATGATTTTCAGTTACAATTACAAAAATGTGAGGATTTTTTTAAGACAGCCATAGAGACTAGAACCATTATCTTTGATAACTTTAAGATTCCTCTCCGTAGGGTAGTACAAGATGTCCATGTTAATAACTTTGGATACAAAATGATTGATTTTTGTAAAAACAATGACATTTATATAGTAAATGGCCGTGCTGGCAGTGATAAATACGTGGGAGGTTTAACTTGTAAGGGTAGTAGCACGGTGGATTATGTGGTTGCCACAGCACCTATGTTTAAATTTATGTTTAAATTTATAAAAGATTTTGATATCTCTGACTTCTGTAACTTGTATTCGGATGTGCACAATCCAGTTTCATTTTCTATTTTACCAGCGCTTTCCACAAAACACAGGTGTGAAGATATTGTTGAAAATCAGTCACGTGTAAAACTATGGTCACAAGACCAAGCAAAACATTTCCCAGAGAATGTGGATATATCTAAGGTTAAGGACATAGAGAATGAGTTAGATATTTTGACTAGTAGTACAGAAACAAGTAACATTAGCAAAGACACTTTAAACGATGTTACTAATAAGTTATGTGGTATATTTTTAAACACAGCTAAATCAACATTTGGGGTTAGTCGTAATTTTAAGAAAGATAATTGTGAAAACAAACGCAATAAACCCTGGTTCAATAAAGAGTGTAAGACGGCGAGAAAGAAATATCATTTGGCAAAGCGATTAAATAGTAAAAATCCTTGTTTAGAAAATAAAGCTAATCTTCAATTAGAAAGCAAAAATTATAAAAAGATTATGGATTCGTGTATAAAAGATTATAGGAAAGGCATAACAAAAAACTTGAAATCTTTACGATCAACAAATACTAGAGAATATTGGAAAATTTTAAATGGTCCTAATGCGTTAAATAAATGTGCTGTAGATATTAATGCTATGTTTGATTTTCTGAAGGGCATCAATGAAGGTCATGACAATGACATAGAAGATGTTGATACTCTAAGTTCTCCAACAGATAGCCGTGTATGTGATGATTTTTTGAATTTTGAGATTAGTGAGGAAGAAATTTTATGTGCAGTTAAAAGATTAAAAAATAATAAGGCCGCAGGCTATGACCAGTTGCTAAACGAACATATTTCATCAACAATAGCTACGTTTTTGCCTGTATATAAAAAAATGTTTAACTTGATTTTTGATAGTGGAATAATTCCAGACGAATGGCTCACGGGTATTGTCAAACCGATTTTTAAAAATAAAGGTGACCCAACAAATCCAGAAAATTATCGTCCAATAACACTTTTAAGTTGTCTTGGTAAGCTTTTTACCTCCATTTTATGTAAACGCTTGGAATGTTATGTAGATAGCTTAAATCTTATAAGCGAAAGCCAAACTGGCTTTCGGAAAGGTTATTCTACCTTGGATAATATACTTAGTTTACATTTTCTTTCAAACATGGTGATGTCTCTCAAAAAGAAACTTTTTTGTGCTTTTATTGACTTCAAACAGGCATTCGACACAGTGTGGAGAAATGGGCTTTGGTACAAACTTTTGAATAATGGCATTACCGGAAAATGTTTTACTTTTATAAAAAATATGTATAATGGTGTCAAGTCTCTTGTGACTATGAATGGTCTTTCATCTGAATTTTACAATTGTAACATTGGTGTCCGCCAAGGAGAAAATTTATCACCTCTCCTGTTTTCTATGTATATTAATGATCTAGAAGAGTTTCTGGCCAGCAAAAATGTACATGGACTATCTTTTAATAATGTAAGCAGTTCAAACTCTGTAGAAAATGAAATTTTGATGTATTTTAAATTATTTATTTTGTTCTATGCTGACGATACAGTTATAATGTCTGAGTCTGCAGAAGGTTTACAACATGCTCTAAATGAGTTTCATTCATATTGTGTACAATGGAAACTGACTGTCAATGTAGACAAAACAAAAATTATGATTTTTTCGAAAGGTCCATCTGTTAAGAATGTATTTTATTACAATAATTCTGTTATTGAAATTGTGAACGAATTTAAATACCTAGGTATACTGTTTTCTCGATCAGGTTCATTCTGTAAAACTAAAAAACATTTATGTGAGCAAGCTCAAAAAGCCATGTATGGAATTATACGAAAAATTCGACAATTTAATTTACCAGTAGATTGCCAGCTTGATTTGTTCGATAAAGTTGTCACTCCAGTACTTTTGTATGGATGTGAGATATGGGGTTTTGAGAACATTGATATAATTGAACGTGTTCATCTTAAATTTTTGAAACATATTTTTAATCTAAAAAGTAGTACTCCTAGTTATATGGTTTATGGCGAAACGGGTCGCTTCCCTTTGTATATAACAGTGTATTCGAGAATGATATCCTATTGGGCAAAATTATTGGTAAGCCCTGAAAACAAGATTGTTTATGTTACATATAGACATTTATTTGAACAGTTCAGTACAGGAAGTCATAAGAATCCTTGGATTTTATGTATTAAGAATATACTTGATAGTTGTGGCTTCTCAAATGTGTGGAATGAACAGACCTTTATAAATATTAAATGGCTAAAGGCTATAGTTGATCAACGTCTTAAAGATCAGTACATACAGAAGTGGCAAAGTAATATGCGCGATTCATCTAAAGGTCTCTTTTATTGTATCTTCAAAACAGAATTTGGATTTGAAAAATATTTAGCCTTACTACCAAAAAAATTTAGAACAATATTAATTAAACTAAGAACAACAAATCATCGTCTTCCAGTTGAGACTGGGAGATGGTTTGGGATTCCCAAAAATGATAGACAATGTAATCTTTGTAATAATGGACAAATAGCTGATGAGTATCACTACATTTTAGAATGCAAATATTTTTCCGAATGTAGAAAAAAATATCTTCCCAGTAAATATTGTAATAGACCAAATTTTTTCAAATTATCAGAATTGTTGTCATCTGCTGACTCCAAACTATTGATTAAACTATGCTGTTACATAAATAGAGTATATGAAAAAGTCTGTCCTCCATAGTTATCTTTGTTACTTTATATGAATATTTCCGCCATTTCACGTGTATCTTGTATATTATTCTTTGTATATATTGTACATATTGTTGAACCTCATGTACCATTGATATGGTCTGAGTGAATAAATTGAACTTGAACTTGAACTTGCTTTTAACGCTGTCCGCACAATTTCTCGAAGATGGGTCAGTCAATCATTATAAAACTCCACTGTCATAATGATCACTAACAAAAGATGTGCAATCTGTATTCAAAATATTTAAAATTGCCATCGTTGCAATTAAAAAACTTACAAATAGCAGAATATGCTTAAATCCAATCAATTTTAAATCTTAAAGAAGTGTTCCTTCCGTCAAAAAAAAAAACTTTCAAAAAACACTGAAAAGGAGTGACGAAAAATGCGATTGGTTTAAGAAAAATCAAGTCACGTGACCAATTTTCTGACTAATTGCTGGCGATTTTGAACTGCATATTTTGTTTAAATTACCGAAGCAAACTTACTGAAACTTAATAGAAATGAAAATCATCAACTGTAGTTGGTTCTATGATTCTTTAAAATTCTTAGAATTGCCTTTGTTGTCATAACAACAGTCATTCTTTAAATTTCGTATTTTCAGTAATTTTTTTTTTTTTTTAAATCTGTGAAGGGGATACTTAATTCTCTTAGACACCTGATTCGATCCACGAAGAACAAGGTGCATTTTAATACAAATCTGGCCCTAACTTTTTAAAAAATATATGAAGTAATTTAACAAATTAATTAAAATCCATCCTTTCTGAATTATAGGAATTCCTTGCAATAAGAATATACACATTAGTTTTGTTTTTCTCACATGACATCCTAAATGCTACATGTAATATTATGAGATCATGAACATGTGCATTTTCATGTATTTTCTTTAAAAAGTTACTGTAATCATTTATTTTCAGTAGAATTTTCTTTCAAATAATACAGACCACATGAGTCACCCATAATGGTTTTTAGAAATGTGATTTCTTTCCAATGATTTTATACAACATGCCTGAAAATAGAAGTGGGCGATGACTGTGGACATTGTTTTTTTAAAGGGATATAACTCCAGAAATGAGTCGTTTTTAGGCTTTTTCTGTTTAAATCTTAGAAATGTACCAAATGAACGGCGTCATATCACCAGAATAGTCCTCCTTCATGCCATAATTTTTTTCATAATTTATCACATTCATAGACAAATACTCAAGTCATACTGAAACAAGTTTTTAATTTTTTTTCAAAACATTAAATTTCAAAGGCAAAATGAAGCCCAAACCATTCCTTCTACTTTTCATGGGTTTACATGTATGATTTCTGCCCTTTTCAAACATTTGTCTTGTTTGTAGCCTAGATTTGAGACTTTTCCTTAACTTCAGACTTCTTTATTTGTGATTTATTTATTTATTTGTTTATTCAGTCTATGAATGCTTTGCTTTGGACAAAAAGCTCTGAACAAAATCCGTTTCGGTTTTAAATGATACTAATGTTTGAGAAAAAGCAACAGTTACTTCATTTTAAGGCCAAACACTTAGTCACAAATTTGTATCTGAAATTCATTATGCACTGCGCAGTTTTGTAAAGATATTTTGTGTTTCTAACAACAATACAAAGCAGTTAATGCAGCCGTGATTGATTGCACTTTGCTGTTCTAAATGAATAGAGGGATCAAGTGCTGCCGATTTTTATTGTGTAAAATGAAGACAAATTAACGATTTTAATTTGATACAGTAGGATACGATTCTGTTAATTAGAGTGCCGATATGGGGAACTTTTCCACCAACTCTTCTTGTCTCGAATGACAAAATGTCATCTGTCAAAGCATGCTTACACAGCTAACTTTAAAACGTTTTCAATGCAGAGTTGTGCAGAACTAAAAGATAATTATAACACATTAGAGAGAACGACTATAGAACAGGGCAATTTGATATGCTTTTAAGTAGAATTATAAAAAAAAATCTTACACTAACACGTTAAGTGAATGTTTTAATCCTAATTTGGATTCCTTATCTATCACAATGTCAACTTTGAAGTTTGGTATCATTGTAAATCATACATTTCTTTTAAGACTAATTCGACATCCTTTCACTTGTAACTCTAGAACTGTTTGTCTTGCAAAAATTGCACATGATGGAAGCATTTGCTGAACAAAATTGACAAGAATTTATGAAGTCAATATTTTGCAGTATTTTTAGAACTTTGGTTCAAACTGTAACAATGGTATTTAAGCATTATTAGTGCATTATTATATTTTCAAAGTGTTTCATATTTCAAAAGATAAGTTTATTGAAACTGGTGCAACTAATTGCACAAATATGTGTCACTAAAAGTTTGAGGAATTGGTGGTTTTTATTGGCATTATATATTCAGTTCAATTCGTTTCTATACATTTTTTACACTGAATTTTAATCTAAAAGACATTTTTTTCTTATGAACAATTACCGTTATAACAAACATTACAACTACTTATCGACATATAAGCAATGCTAGACGTGATGACTTTAACTTTTCTATCGTAAATTGTCCTTGTTTGTGCAGCAGTGTACCTTCGTCGCCTGCATACGGAGTTTATGTGTCTCAGTTGATTCGATGTGCATGAGCATGCTCTGCGTATGAACAATTTCTAAAACAAGCTAAATTATTTACAAACAAGTTGTAGAAACAAGAATATCAGCAGTCTCGTTTGGAGTCATCATTTTATAAGTTCTATGGTCGATACAATGACCTTGTCAGCAAATACAATCAATGAGCCAAATACTGACGACGTTATTCATACAGTGCTAATTGTTAGGCCATTATTTATACACTAAACTGACGACGAATTTTTCCGTTATTTCCCGATCATGACAAGGAGCACACGACATCTCTGACCAGTCGGCAGTAGATGCTCACTCCTTCATGGCAACTGATCCAACCTCTGATGTTTTGGAGGTCCGTGTTTGCTCTGCTCCTATTTTGTATTGTTTTTTGGACTTTTGATCTCGAATACTGTTCGTTATTTCCATATGTTTCATCCCTCCATATTCCTTTTTCTATTGGTTTGATGTGCTAATGTTTTCCTCGTTGCGATTCTGGATCCTTATCCATGCATGAGTAAACGACTTAGACTGAAGAAGACTACAAAACTGCTAACAAAATTCGTACAATGTATGTTGCTGGATAAAATCATACGTGCGGTGCCAACTTTTGAAATTCCAGCCGTCAAGACTTCGATTTACCCTACCTATACTTGATTCCTAAACTTCACAAAACTCCTTACAAGATTTATATATTGCCGAAAAAATTCATATGTAGAAATAGTGTCGGTTGTGAATTCTCAAAAACCTTGAAAGAGTTTTTCAAAGGTTTTACAGGTCCGTGTCTGCTCTGTTTTATGTGCTGTTTGAACGAAATATATTGACATAACGAACAGTATTCGAGCTCAAAAGTTTATTCATATAAATCTGGAGCAGACCAAACACGGACCTCTAAAGCCTCAGAGGTGGGATCAAGTGCCATGGAGGAGTGAGCATACCCTGTCGATCGAAAACACTTCCGTGTG